AAAAAGTCACAAAATACGAATAAAACAGTCTGTTGGAAAGTACCCGGGGCCAATCTGGCCCTTGCGTGTCAAAGGACAAAATGCCCAAGGTCATCGAGTTATGGATGGATTGGAATTCAGGATGCCCCTGCATGTGTGCTCCTTGCACACCATGCGGGAGGACAACGCACCAATGGGACCTCAGGTGGGCTAAGTGAAAGGTCTTGGTCTTGGACTAAGTAGCCTGGAGTAGGGGCCAGGACCTGCAGTGGAGGAACAAATACATCAACAGGATTTGGTGGCCTCCGTCTTCCTCATCATGTCCTGTATCAGTCAGCAGCTCGGCAGGAAACACAGCAAATTCAAACCCTATAAAACGATGCATTTTAATAAAAGGACTGTTTACAGGCTGGGCAGGCTGTAGGGAAGCAGAGAGGAAGGTGCCAGAACTTGTGGAGACAAAACTGAGGGGAGGCCAAAGGATGTGTCCAGCAGGTGGAAACCATCCAGGAAGGGGGCAGGGACAGGGATGGGGGTGATGAGTTCCCTGACCTCAATTTTCTTGCTTCCATATTTAGTCTCCTATTGCCGCTGTTAAATAAATAAATAAATAAATAAATAAATAAATAAATAAATAAATAAATAAATAAAAAATTAAAAATAGTGGTAGCTTGAGACAGCACAAGTTCACTCCAAGCCCTGAAGGTCCAAAGTCCAAAATGAGTCTTATGGGACTAAAATCCAGGCATTGGTAGAACCGGTTCCTCCTGAAGACTCCAGGGAGAATGTGTTCCTTTCTACTTCCAGCTTCTAGAGGTGACCTCTCTTCCCTGACTCCCAGCCCTGTTACCCTGGACTCCGATTCACCATCACATCACCCCATCTAGTGGTGACCTCTTGACTCTGTCTTTGATTACGATCCTTTGATTATGATCCACTGATTACATCCCCACTTGCAATCTTTAGCTTAACCATCTTTGCAAAGTCCCTCCACCCCACAAGGCAACATATCTGCAGGTTTTGGGGATTAAGATGTGGATGCGTTCAAGGGAAAGGCCGTTACTCAGCTTGTTCTTCTCCGATCCGCCCTGGTGTTCCCCCTCACCTGAGCCTGCCCAAGGCCATGGAGGTGAGCACTCTGGGGCCTGGACCAGGGTCAGGGAGGGAAGATGTGCTCAGGCTGGACAAACAGCCACCACCCAGTGCAACCCCTTCTCCCCAGTGTCTTCAAACTAAAGCTAGAGGTGTGTCCATCTGCTTGTAAATGCAATTTAGTAGCCTCACAAGTTACAGGGGATCTTTACAATCCTGTTGGACCCGCAACCTCACCCACCAGGAGGCTCTATCTCATAAACGTAAAATTTGGAAGAAAAGGAAGATCTATATTTTTTATAATGCGGACCCCATCAGGTAGTTTTCAACGAGTTTCCATTTCAGAGGGAAAAGCGATGAAACATTTTCTGCAATATATTTCAAAAATCTGAAAAGTTAGCCTCAATTGTGGTTTCACAGAAATCTCATTTCTTAATAATCATTACATTCCTGAAGGTCACACTTACCATCCAGTCTGAATCAGCTAAATTTTTTGTGGACGACTTGCAACTCATCCTGTCCGAGGTATTTTCAAATCAAGTGACGATTCTCGTTTACGTTTGTTGGGGTTGAAGTTTTTAGTATTGGAATATGCATCATCCCTAAATTAAAAACAGAGGAACGGTTCGAAGTCTATTCACTGGAATAAAAAATAGAACTAATGTGGAGAACGGCACCCTGAATAGTAGAGTTCGAGACCACATGTACATTGTAGTGTAATCTGCTGGGGCTGCCACAACCACGTGCCACACTCTAGCTTCAACAAAATGAGTTTTATATCTGTAAACAAAAAAAGGCAAACAAGAGACCAAAATCTAAATACACTCATAGGAGTGTGAGGACACACAGTCGGTGGCAGAGGCCCCTGAGGGGTCCAGCCCTGGCTGCTGAGCGCCTACCGTGTCCCAGTACTGGGAAAAGAGCTGCAGAATCAATACCCACCCGTGGATCTCACCTTCCAGGGAGGAAACACAACAAGCCAGGAAACAACCAGACTGCAGTTGCAACGGCTTCTGTGAAGGACAGCACACAGAGCAGCCCGGGGAGGGCACCCCAGAACGGCCAGGCAGCAGTGGCCTCTCTGGGGAGGTGACATCTGGGGCAAGAACCGAAGACAGAAAAGACGGTTAGGAAACTGAAGCGAGTGCAAACACGCAGATGGGAACAACACCTCGTGTTGGAGGAGCAAGAAGGAGGCCCGTGCAGCTGGAGGCCCCCGGCGCAGGCCAATCCCAAAGGATCGCTCCTGTTCTCTTCCCTCCTTGGGCCAATGGTCACACTGCACAGCATCTTCTGAAATCCCACTCCAAGGAGGTAGCTGAATGGGAAAATACACTGTGCAGGCCCAAGCACAGCTGCCCCGTGACTGGGATTCCCCCGGGCATGGCGCGTGAGGAGGCCCTGCTCAGGCTCTGGAGGGACCCACAGGCTCCCGGTCTCGTTGACTCACTGTCTTGCTTGGATAAGAGAATGCTCTACAGCTTCTAGGGCCATGTTTGATAACGTACCCCCAACGGCATTACAGAGCCACCTGTGATGCCACCAGCTGCTGCCCATCCTGACCACCTAAAATCACAAGAAGGGACCTTTCATTCCACCGAAACAAGAAGGATGGACCCTGGTATCCGGGGAACCCGACCTGCCACCCAGGCGTCCTCCTGGCAGCGTGGTTACAGGCCGCAGACCAGACCGCAGTCAGCACCGCCCCTTCAACGACGCAAAGCCATCAAGAGTATGACTCCCGTTACTTAACACATGATTTTATGTGTGTTATCTTAAATGCCGATTTTCAAGATGAAGCTACTTTAGACCCCCATTTCTGATTATTTGAGAAACACCGTTCTAAATAGAACATACCTTCCAATCCATTAGCAAATGCCCTGTCACCTACACTTCCTGTGTCGTCCGTACTCACTTAAATCTCTTCCCATTACGAGAGATTATATGCTCTAATGCCACGTCTTTGTCCCTTGTCAGAGATCAAGTGGCGCTAATAGGGGAATGATGCCACTAATGTCCCCCGAGGAAACCAGTGTGACCGTCATAGCCAAGATGTGTTTCATCCAAAAGGAAAAGGTCAGAGGAGAAGGCAAAGCCCCCTTAAGGAGAGATCTGATGCGTGTTGAGCACAGAGAAACACCTTCCAAATCAGACGCTCTTGCACCCGCACGTGGTTCCAGACAGGATAGGCTTTTGCGAGATTCCCGAAGAACCAGAGGAATGGAGGCCTAAGAAGAGCTTGCTTCCAAACAGGAGTGACGACTCCAGCTAGAAGAACCCAAAGGGATTCAGGGACGTCTCCTAGAAGCCCCCGGAGGACGTTGAGCCTGGACGGGACGGGAGCCAGTGGGGCCTCTATTCACGGTTGCCGAGGCTGTGCACTGCGCAAATGCCCAGCCGAGGGAGCGGCGCTGGGGAGCAGCGGGAAGAGGAAAGCCAGCCCCTGTCTTTTCTAAAACCTGCGTGCTCTCGGCGACGAGCGGAGAGGAAGCAGCCCCAGGTCGCCCCGCGGAGAGGAACGCGCTTCCCCCTCCGCTAGCAGGTGCGCCGGGAGCCTTGGGACCGGCCCATCGGCCTCGGTGTCGGCAGCAGGTGCGGGGTGGGAAGCGGGCGCGGAGCCGAGGGAAAGCCGCGGGCCACCCCCGGGCGCCACTGAAAGGGTCCAGGAGGGGCGGGGAGCGCGGGCGGCCCCCAGGCCTTCCCACAACCTGCCCCGCGCAGGAGCTCCGCTCCGCCTTCCCAGGTGGGCGCACACTGCTCGGCTCCCGGATGCACCTGCTGGGACCCGGTGCGGGCGCTCAGGGCGGCCCACGGGCCTGTGCACGGCCGCTCCCCAAGCTCCACCCGCTGTCCCTCTGCGCATCTGTGGCTGCAGGGAAACTGACTCGGTGGTGGTGGTGGTGGTGGTGGTGGTGGGACGGTATTGGTGGTGGTGCTGGTGGTGGTGGTGGTGCTGGTAGTGGTAGTGGTGGGATCATAGTGGTGATGGTGGTGGTGGGACGGTATTGGTGGTGGTGCTGGTGCTGGTGGTGGTGCTGGTAGTGGTGGGATCATAGTGGTGATGGTGGTGGTGGGACGGTATTGGTGGTGGTGCTGGTGCTGGTGGTGGTGCTGGTAGTGGTGGGATCATAGTGGTGATGGTGCTGGTGGTGGTGCTGGTGCTGGTGGTGGTGCTGGTGGTGGTGGGATCATAGTGGTGATGGTGCTGGTGGTGGTGCTGGTGCTGGTGGTGGTGCTGGTGGTGGTGGTGGTGGCTGTAGTGGTAGGACACAGGGTGTGAACTGAGTGAGGGAGGAAGGCAAAGGGAAGCAGGGGGCAGAGCACAGAAGGCCCAACAGGGGCAAGCCCAGGGTAGCCTCACAGACCCCTGGGTCATCCTGGATGTGGGTGTTGCACCCAGGAGGAGGCCCTGATGGACTGAGAGCAGGACACATGGCGGGGAGCCCTTCCCCCGGGGCCCTGGCCGCACATCCCACATCTGCCAGACCTGCTGCACCTGCCGCCGAGGGGCTTGGGTGCAGTGTCACCAACTCTCCCGTGTCTCTATGTGCTCCCTCAACCCACATTCCTGATGCACCTGCTGTGTGCCCGGCGCTCGGGAGGCCCACTCTCTGCAAGGCTGACTCCATCTGCGGCCCCTCTGCCTGCTGCCCACGCTGGGCCCCAGACAGGGGCACACACACCGGGGGGGGCACTTCCCACAGCCAGGAGGGGGCCTGCGAGATGGGGCACTGGCCCCCAGGGACGGGGCTCATCCTGCTTAGAGGTGGTGTCTCCTCCCGCAGCCCCACACTGAGGAGATGCAGAAGGAGGCAAGCTCGCCCCTCCTCCCTCCTCCCCTCCTCCCCCTCCTCCCCCTCACCTCCCCCTCCTCTTCCTTCTCCTCCTCCTCCTCATCCTCTCCCTCCTTCTCCCCCTCCCCCCCCTCCTTCTATATGGAACATTTCATGAACTTGCATGTCATCCTTACACAGAGGCCATTCTAATCTTCTCTGTAGCGTCCTAATTTTACCATGTGCTGCTGAAGCAAACCCTCTCCTGTCTCTTCTTAGAAGGGCACGCATCCCATCATCGGGGCTCCAGCCTCATGACCTCGTCACTCCCCCAAGCTCTATCTTCTGACACAGTCACCTCGGGGACTTAGGATTTCAACATACAGATATGGGGCTTGGGGAGATGTTACAGCTGCAGTATGTAACACTGACTCACCCTACCCACACCCAAAGAAACACAACTGCTTCAGGCCTAAACACCTCCAACAGCATGGTTAATATTAGAGTGTATGTAAGATTAAAATATCTGGTTGTAAAATAGGAAGCAAGTAAGAGGCGAGAGAAGAAACGGGGGTAATGGAAACCATCGCTTCCATGAACTTGCTTTTTTGGGGAAGATGGGAGAGTAAAGTGAGCAGAGCATGCGAGGCCTTTGGTCCAAATTTCATCTTTCCTACATGTAAGCAATGAGACCTAACCTTGTCTCAACTTTAGTTTTTCATTGTAAACTGAATCCCTACTTCATATGACTTTGGGGGAAGAGTTAAATAGGATATGTGCAGAGCAGGAGACCTCGTCCTGTGCAGTCATGCAGGCAGGGGTGCCCACGTCGCCCTCATTGGCACCATCACCAGCCTCCCCACTGCTCCTTCCACACAGTACCAGGCACTCGTAGGGCTCACATAACTCCAAGTACGGATCAGTTGGTAACAACTATCCTAGAACGTAGAGCCTGTGGAAGGGGCTTAATCTTATTCATTGAGAATCAAAGAACTGTGCTTCTGCAAAGTAAAAGACCCTTTCAATTCCAGTGTGACCTGAAATATACAGAAAATGGATTGAAGTATAAACCATGTCCTTCCACTGAATCGTGGGCAGAAACTACAGGCAGCAGGACACACAGTTGCTCTCAAAGAGAGCACCCATGGGCACTTGGGTGGCAGAGGGAGTTAAGCATCTGACCCTTGGTTGCAGCTCAAGTCACGATCTCGAGGTGGTGAGATGGATGCATTGGGCTCTGCATGCAGCAGGGAGTGTGCTGGAGACTCTCTCCCTCTCTCTCTGCTCCTCCCCCTAAAATAACTTAAAAAGAAAAAAAAAAAAGAGGGCACCCAGTATAGAAACACAGGGCCAAACTCGGATGGAGTCAAGGTGATCTCCTCCCTAATAATCACCTATCAGTGTGGCTTTCACAAAGTGCGTTAGAAAGTGACAACTTCCTTGAAACACATTGAAAGACACACTTGCTTAAAATCTCGACGTGGACGGAGCACCCGGGTGGCTCAGTCGGTGAAGCGTCTGCCTTCAGCTCAGGTCATGAACTCAGGGTCCTGAGGTCGAGCCCCAGGTGGGGCTCCCTGCCTAGGGGAGAGTCTGCTTCTCCCTCTGCCCTGCCCCACCACTCATGCTCTCACTCTCAAATAAGTAAATAAGGTCTTTTAATTTAAAAAAAAAAATCCCAACTTTGAGAAACTGTAGATGTTTGGACATTTCTGCCGATCGGAAAGACGTGGTGCTCCAGCCCGGAGCGGCAGAGCCAGCAGAAACGTGGTGAGCAGAAGCTCCAGGACCAAGGTAGTGCCATCCCCCTGCACACACTCCTCAAGGGTCACTTGAGGAGCCACAGTCACAGTGAGGCATGTGTGCGTGTGCCTGTGCACATGCAAGAACACGGCTGCAGCTCTCTGAATTCCACTGCACATCATTCTTTCCACGGCCGAGTTTCTGTCCTTCTCTCTGCAAGTACTTCTCACCTTTATGAGCATCCCAATGTCAAAAATGCTGCTCCAGGAGAATTACAGAGTGACGTCTGGGCACCGACGACTGTGATCACAGTTTGTCCATGCTCACAGGGAGACGTCGGGAAGGAAATTTCCCAAGTGCCCTTCACAGGGAATGCGTACCTCTCCAGTCTCTGGCCTTATTTTTGACACTTTTTAAAACATTGTGTTTTAAAAAGCTGGCAGGCTCCGTGGGCGGGCGCCAAGCAGCAGGCCCAGGGTGCACAGGTGTAGCCAGGCGGGGCCTCCGCCCAGGCGGCCTGGCCCAGAGGCCACGCTCCAGACGCCCTGCTTCCCTAGCTGCTCCCCGCTGAAAATCTTTCCCGTTGGAGGTTCTGGTTCAGCTCAGGGGACCCCCTCTGTGGGTTGGTCCTGAAGAGTGCATGGGGTAGGTGCCACTGTGTTCCCCTTCGTGTGACCGGGGACATGGCCCGTCGGCCTGTCCCCTGCCCCTGCCGCCACCCAAAGGCGGGAACCAAGGGACCACTCATGCCGGAGCCAGCCTGTGCTGGGCCCTGGTGACCGCTGTGCTGAGCCGCCCTGCAGCCTCCGGTGCAGACGTTGCTCCTCTGTGCAAAAACCCACGTCTTTGCACACACACCGGCAACCCCCAAAGTTGCCCTTCGAACTTGGCGTCTGAGAAAAGAAACAGTTAATAAAACAACAAAAACCTTGGAAGGACACCTCGGAGAATCACACTGTTAAAAGAACAAATCGGTGCCCCAAGGACAGTAACGGCTTTACACCCCTACTCCGGCGGCCGGTGCAAACGTTAATAATGTGAAGAAGGTAGGTGTGAGCATGACATTTTGGTGTCAGGACGCTCAGCATGGACCAGCCTTTCAAAGGGACATAAATCCGTATCCAGATTTCTTCAAATATCAACTCTGCCGGGAAGTAGCAGCTAAGAGCTTTAGAGCAACATTTCCATGACAAAAGTCGGGCATTGCTCCTGTTCCCATCCCGGATCCCCATCCCCGCCTTGCAAGACAGCGCCGCTCATTAAACATTTGAGTCGCGTTCAATAGCTTCCCGAAGTGTCTTCTGCTCAGTATATCCATTTTTTTTCTCTAATTATATTGATTTTAGCAAATTGCAGTGCCCATCTGAGCTGATTTCCAAATATCAAAAACCTTCAATGAAAGGGAAACACAAATGCGTGGGGCTCCAGCCAGATCAGGCGCATTGTCCCCCCAAGGGCCTCCGGGAGAGAGGCCGCGGTGGGACACGGAATTCCTGAGAACAAGCAGCCCCTGGGGCAGCCAGCGCCACCCCCTCAGGTGTTGCTTGTTCTACTTGCCTGGTAACTAGGTCAAAGTCAAGGGCCGGAGCTCTGCTTGCACTTTCCACGTGGTGTCTCAGGGTGACCGGAAGGCAAATCGACACCTAAGGGATGTTTTTAAAATCCAATCCGGAGTGCTTCCATCGGCCGGCAGGAGGAACAGCCTAGGCCCTGGACGGACACGACCGCTTTCCTTTTTAAAAACAGAAGATTGGGGCGCCCTTGCGGTGGGTGCTCAGCGGTTGAGCATCTGCCTTCGGCCCAAGGTGTGATCCCAGGGTCCCAGGATCGAACCCCTCATCGGGCTCCCTGCAGGGAGCCTGCTTCTCCCTCTGCCTGTATCTCTGCTTCTCTCTGTGTGTCTCACATGAATAAATAATTTTTAAAAAATACTTTTAAGCAAATGGTGGGTATTTGTCATTTCTAATGGCTGAGGAATATTCCATTGTATACCTAGACCACATCTTCTTTATCCATTCATCTTTCGATGGACACCGAGGCTCCTTCCACAGTGTGGCTGTTGTGGACATGGCTGCTAGAAACATCGGGGTGCAGGTGTCCCGGCGTTTCATTGCATCTGAATCTTTGGGGTAAATCCCTAACAGTGCAATTGCTGGGTCGTAGGGCAGGTATATTTTTAAATCTTTGAGGAACCTCCATACAGTTTTCCAGAGTGGCTGCGCCAGTTCACATTCCCACCAACAGTGTAAGAGGGTTCCCTTTTCTCCACATCCTCTCCAGCATTTGTGGTTTCCTGCCTCCTTAATGTTCCCCATTCTCACTGGTGTGAGGTGGTATCTCATTGTGGTTTTGATTTGTATTTCCCTGATGGCAAGTGATGCAGAGCATTTTCTCATGTGCATGTTGGCCACGTCTATGTCTTCCTCTGTGAGATTTCTGTTCATGTCTTTTGCCCATTTCATGATTGGATTGTTTGTTTCTTTGGTGTTGAGATTAATAAGTTCTTTATAGATATGGGAAACTAGCTCTTTATCTGATACGTCATTTGCAAATATCTTCTCCCATTCTGTAGGTTGTCTTTGAGTTTTGTTGAGTGTATCCTTTGCTGTGCAAAAGCTTCTTATCTTGATGAAGTCCCAATAGTTCATTTTTGCTTTTGTTTCTTTTGCTTTCGTGGATGTATCTTGCAAGAAGTTACTGTGGCCAAGTTCAAAAAGGGTGTTGCCTGTGTTCTCCTCTAGGATTTTGATGGAATCTTGTTATGCTGAGTGAAGTAAGTCAATCGGAGAAGGACAAACAGTGTATGTTCTCATTCATTTGGGGAATATAAATAATAGTGAAAGGGAATATAAGGGAAGGGAGAAGAAATGTGTGGGAAATATCAGAAAGGGAGACAGAACATAAAGACTCCTAACTCTGGGAAACGAACTAGGGGTGATGGAAGGGGAGGAGGGCGGGGGGTGGGGGTGACTGGGTGACGGGCACTGAGGGGGGCACTTGACGGGATGAGCACTGGGTGTTATTCTGTATGTTGGTAAATTGAACACCAATAAAAAATTAATTTATTAAAAAAATAAAATAAAAATAAAAAATACTTTTAAAAAATAAAAAATAAAAATAGAAGACATTTCTGTGCAGGCTTCACTGCCACTGACCACGTGGTGACCCCGGAGCACTGAGCTGTCCATCCTGCGCACCTGCCCCCCTTCCGATGGTCAGCCTGCAGTGGCCCCTGCCCGTCCACACCTGTGCGCACGCACTCGATCATTTAAAATGTTTCCCAAATATGTATTGGGCATCAAATCTTTGCTGGGTGTGGTGCTACAAACCCAGTGAGGCAGGGAGGAGAAAAATCCAGACCCGACTGCTGCTGGAGCTCACTTCCTCCCAAATGGGACTTTGACATTGAGCTGCCGGGCGACACACACCTTTCCTCCCTGACCCTTCCCCCTTGCACCTGGGACGCCCCCATCATCTCAGCCACCCCAGGTGGGAGCCCTGGAGTGGGTGCTGACC